GGGCTGAAGAGATGGCTCAAAGGTTAAGAGCACTAGCTGCTCTTCCAGAGGCCCTGAGTTCAATCCCAGCAACTACTAGGTGGCTCCCAACCATCTGTAATGAGAACTGGTGCCCTCTTCTGGTGTAAAGGCAAACATGCAGACAGAACACGATATATTTAATAAATAAATAAATAAATCTTTTTTTAAAGAAAATAATTGAGAAGCCATGTATGGTGGTGCACACTTAAAACCTAGCATTCAGGAGGCTGAGGCATGAGGCTGCTCAGTGATGGCTGAGTGGTTAAAAGCACCTGTCGGTCTTGCAAAGGACAGGGTTTGAATTCCCAGTTCCCACATGGCAGCTCACAGTTCCAGGGATCCCGTGTCCTCTTCTGCTTCTCTGGGCACATAATTATACACATGCAAAACACTCATATACATAAAAAGTAAATCTGAACTACTAAGGAAAAAAGGATGGGCTGGAAAGATAGCTCAGTGGTTAAGAGCATTAGATGCTGTTCCAGAGGACCTGAGTTTGAGTTCCAGCACCACATGGGGGTTCCCAATAACCTGTAACTCCAGCTCCTGATATCCTCTTCTGGCCTAGGCTGGCACTAGGAGCACAAGTGATGCACAGACATATACACAGGCAAACCACCTATGCCCAAAAAAATTAAATTTTAAAAATTTAAAAAGAGGCTGAGACAGGTGAATTACATGTTCAGGGCTAACCTAAGCTACAAAGAAAGATGGTCTCAAAAACAGTATTTGGAGGCAGGTGGATCCCTATGACTTTGAGGCCAAACTGGCCAAATAGAGCAAGTTCCAAGACTCCAAGACAGCCAAGACTACACAGAGAAACCCTATCTTAGGAAAAACTTTATGAAAAAAAAAATTGTCTCAGTCGGGCGGTGGTGGCGCATGCCTTTAATCCCAGCACTCAGGAGGCAGAGGCAGGCAGATCTATGTGAGCTCGAGACCAGCCTGGTCTACAAAAGCTAGTTCCAGGACAGCCTCCAAAGCCACAGGGAAACCCTGTCTCGAAAAAAAAAAAAAAGGCGTTTCATATGGCCAACTATTTTCTTCTCAAAGATATTAAAGTGACAGGAAGAAAGTTGCATAAGATAGTAATGGGAACAATGCACCCAAGGTGAGAAAGTAAAGATTTTGAGAAGAGTTCAAGTAGTTACTCACATTTATCACTTACAAAATCTACCTCCTGAAGCCTGGAAACCAGAATACCCTGAAGACCACACATACCCGTCCATCCCTCTCCAAGCCCACCAGTATAGTGGCTGCTTTTCCTCCAAGGCTTATCAATTGAACAGTTTCACAATCCAGATTCATTCTTCCACTTCCTCCTCCAAATGGGCTCCCTCCTCACCCCCATACCTTGAAATAGAAAAGTAAAGCCTGGCATTTTTTTCCTACTTTTATTCCCAATCAACCACGCCATCCTTATGCTACGACAGACCCCTCTGGGATGTCCCCGAAAAGCACTGCTAGATACCACTTCCTTCTCCAAAACACCCCTCTTTAAATACTTACTAGTTCCCAAACTAAATTTAAATTCCTGTCTGACTTTCAAAGTAATCTTTAATCTTGTCCCACCCGATGACTTCAATGTCACTCAGACCAATTTTTTCCAGAGCACACCCTTTAACCTGGTTGAACTTGTTTCCTTCCACTGGGCCCAAAGTCTACACTCCACTCAGTGGCTTCTATTGTTTCTAGCACTTGACATCCACTTTCTCTTGATGGCTTAAGTCTTTCAAGGACTGCATTCTTTGGGGTAGTAAGGTGAAATAACTGAGCCATGGCAGTGGTGGCACACACGTTTAATCCCAACAGAGGTAGGAAGATCTCTGTGAGTTCAAGGCCAGTATGATCTACAGGGCAGAGTTCCAGGACAGCCAAGATACACAAAGAAACAAACAACAACAAAAAAAGTCTAACTGCTGGCCCACATCTCTGGCTGCTACGTGAACTGAAAATGTTGAGCACTTGCTTTCCCAACCTTCCTTACAGCTAAACTAACAAAGAACTCTATCCCAGACTTAAAGTAAAAGCACTGAGAACAGAGTCAGCTATAGACAAAGCATCCTATGGTTAAGGATATGGCTCAGAAGATTCA